GTGTGTGTGTGTGTGTGTGTGTGTTTCGGGGGTGGGGGAGCGAGGGGTGGTGCGCACACATCCAAAGAAGTGCGTCTGCGTGCATTTGGTAAAAGAGAGTCCTTTGTCCCGACGGTAAGCCTGGCGAACATGACTCGCGGGCCTCTGGTATGCAGCACACCTGTGCAGAGGAGAAGCCCAGGAGGGGGAGGGAAGGGAGAGGTGTTGGCGGCTGCAGCCCTGCACCCTTGTAGGGGATCACACCTTCTCCTTTCTTCTCCTTTGAGCCATGTCTCCATCGCCCCTTTGTTTTGGCTTACACCTCCAAATACCAGGGAGGCCTTTGTGTGCGTGTGTGTGTGTGTGTGTGTGTGTGTGTGTGAGAGAGAGAGAGAGAAGGTCCTATGGTCACAGCTCTAGAAAATCATTATCCGTGTGTGTGTGTGTGTGTGTGAGAGAGAGAGAGAGAGATGACCTCAGTCAATGCCAATTTGTACACAGACTGCAAGAAAATAGAAAAGGAAGCGAGGAAGGAACGGGAGGACTGATGTTCCCAGGGTCTCCCCAGCTCCCCCCGCACCCCGCCACGCGTCGCCCACCTTTGCAGGCCTTCCGGTGGCTGATGGGCTTGCCCATGTCGCGGTAGTAGCCCTCCTTGCAGTAGTGGCAGTGGCGGCCGGCGGTGTTGTGGCGACAGTTGAGGCAGACACCTCCGCTCTTGCGCCCCGAAAGCTTGTAGAGCTCCATGTTGAAGCGGCAGCGCCGGGCATGCAGGTTGCAGTTGCAGGCTGCAGGGGAAGACCGAGAGAGGTGTCAGCTGCAGGGGCGCGGGCAGGACAGGCACCCATGGGCGCCGAAGGAAACCCCACCCCTCCACTGCTCCCTTCTCCACTAGCAGAGCCAGGCAGGCAGACGTGGGCTCCAGGAGCTCCTCCTCGGCTCCTCCTGTTTATACCCATAAGCATGTATTGGGCACGTAACAGTACCACGGCTGAGGTTCTCCCAAAATTCATATGTTGAAGCCGAGACCCCCAGTACTCAGAATGTGACTGTATTTAGAGATAAAGTCTTAAAACAAGGCCCTCAGAGTGCGCCCTACGCCAGTATGACTGTGTCTTTGTAAGAAGAGGAGACGAGGACACAGAGGGACGCAGGGAAGCATGTGCACGGAGGAGAGATCCCGTGAGGACATTGCCAGAGGGCAGCCATCTGCAAGCCGTGCAGAAAGGCCTCCAGAGCAACCAACTCTGCCAACACCTTGATCTTGGACTTCCAGGCTCCAGAACTAGGAGAAGTAAATGTCTAGCGTTTCAGCCCCCAGCCCGTGGCACTTCGTTGTAGCAGCTGAGCAAACTACTGAGGCTCCTGCCACCAGCCCGGCCTCCCCTTCTCCCCCTCCTCCTCGTCCACTGAGGACTCTGGGGCCTGCACACCATCGTTCTTCCCACCTCAACCTGGCTGGCTTCCGGAGGCTGCCCAGCCCTGCTCTGGGGAGAGGACCCCCACATCGTCCACGATGGCTCTGCTCCACCTGTTCCCTCCCCACGAGCATTGCTCAGGACTCAGCTCCCTTTCCCCGCCCACCCCCGCGCCCTCCTGGTCTGTCTCCTTCACCACTCATCATCTCTGTGCTCCCAACTCCCAAATCAGTATTTCCAGTTTCAGGTCTGGGGTCTCCACTTGAACCCAGAGTCACCTCCTCTACATCATTGACTCCTTACCATCCTGCCCTCAGGTTCCCTGTGGCTTGAGGTGAACCTCGCAGGCTCCCCTCTGCATAATCAGCAGAAGCAGGATTTCTTTTTGTTTGTTGTTATTTTTGAGATGGGAGTCTTTCTCTGTCACCCAGGCTGGAGTGCAGTGGCCCGATCTCAGCTCACTGCAACCTCTGCCTCCCGGGTTCAAGCGATTCTCCTGCCTCAGCCTCCTCAGTAGCTGGGACTACAGGTGTGCACCACCACACCTGACTAATTTTTGTATTTTTAGTAGAGACGGGGTTTCACCATGTTGGTCAGACTGGTCTTGAACTCCTGACCTTGTGATCCTCCCACCTCAGCCTGCCAGAGTGCTGGGCTGACAGCCGTGAGCCACCACACTCAGCCCAGAGCAGGATTTCTAAGCACCAATCTGAGGGCGTCCATCGGGATCAAGTCGAAAGCACTCAGCATGGCCTTCAGGGCTCCAAATAAGCTGGTCCTGCCTCGCCCTCCAGCCCCTCACTCTTTATGCTCCAGTGATTCCAAACTTTGGTCTGTTTCTAGAGCCATGTGCGAGGACCTCTCGCCTGCCTCTCTGGGGCTTTGGACATGCTGTTCCCTTTCTCCCAGGACACCCCTGTTTTATCTGGCTGCCTCCTTCTCGTCTCCCAGGTCTTGGTTCCAATGTTACTTCCCAGCCCCGCTCCACCCCACAAGCCTGGCATGGGCACCCAGCATGGCCTCACACAGCTTTCCTTGTGCCATATCAGGATTGCCTGTCACCTGCCTTCTTCTTTAGGCTTCCAACCCCAGGGTACTCCAGCACAGGTCTGGCCTCTTCTTGTTCACTCTACAACATGGTTTCATGCTCAGTGTGTTCTAAATCACATTTGATGGAATTTCTAAAGAAATACATGTTGGGATTTTTGTTTTGTTTTTTGTTTGAGGCAGGGTCTCACTCTGTTGCCCAGGCTGGAGTGCAATGGCACAGATCTTGGCTCACTGAGACCTCTGTCTCCCGGGCTCATGAGATCCTCCCACCTCAGCCTCCCGAGTAGCTGGGACCACAGGCATGTGCCACCATGCCCAGCTAATTTTTTTTGTATTTTTTGTAGAACCAGGGTTTCACCATGTTGCCTGGGCTGGTCTTGAACTCTTGGGCTCAAGAGATCTGCCTGTTTCGGTCTCCCAAAGTGCTGGGATTACAGGCCTGAGCCACCGCACCCAACCTAAGAAATATATATTTAATTCATGCACTCGATAAACAAAAGCAGGAAGAGAAAGGAATACACTCCTATTTCCACCAACCACAGTTGCTGCAGAGATCTTTCCTGTTAGGCTTAATTAACATTTGTTCAGTTGTGGAGCTATTTAATTCTTTCCTACAGAAATAGAAAACACAGATCATACTTTTACACATCTAGTTTTGTAGGTTTTTTTTTTTTCCATAATAATGAACATTTTCTCGTGTCAAATACTGTTCTTCACGATGTTTAAAAGTCGTCTGGGCTGGGCATGGAGGCTCACGCCTGTAATCCCAGCACTTTGGGAGGCTGAGGTGGGCAGATCTCTTGGAGTCAGGAGTTTGAGACCAGCCTGGCCAATATGGTGAAACCTCATCTCCACTAAAAAATACAAAAATTAGCCAGGTATGGTGGTTTGCGCCTGTAATCCCAGCTACTTGGGAGGCTGAGGCGGGAGAATCTCTTGATTCTGGGAGGTGGAGGTTGCCATGAGCCACCATTGTACCCCAGCCTGAGCCACTGAGCGAGACCCTATCTCACAAAAATTAAAAACTAAAAAATAAAAGTCGTCTGGCACTTTTAAATGCCTTGGAGTCGAAGTGGAGGCATTTAAAAGAAGGACCTCCCAGGGTTGGACAGCTATAGGCCGTTTCCCATTTTTCACTATTATAAATGTTAACTACCTTTGAACGTAAAGGTAACCACCTTGAACCACCTTTGAACATACATATTTGTGCTCTGCGCTGATGAGTGTTGTAGCGCAAATTTCTCTAGATGGAATTACTGGGTTGAATTTTGAATCTACATGTTTTTATATTTTTATTATTTATTTATTTATTTATTTTTTGAGATGGAGTCTTGTTCTATAGCCCAGGCTGGAGTGCAGTGGCATGATCTCGGCTCACTGCAACCTCCGCCTCCCAGGTTCACGCCATTCTCCTGCCTCAGCCTCCCGAACAGCTGGGATTACAGGCACCTGCCACTGCACCTGACTAATTTTTTGTATTTTTAGTAGAGACAGGGTTTCACCATGCTGGCCAGACTGATCTCGAACTCCTGACCTTGTGATCTGCCCACCTCGACCTCTCAAAGTGCTGGGATTACAGGCGTGAGCCACCGCGCCCAGCTCTTCTACATGTTTTTAACATTGGCTCCAAACTGCCAAACTGCCCTCAAGAGAGGCTGTATGGCTTATACTCCCACCAGCAGGATATGAGAGCTCCTATTTTACCACGTGCTTGAAAAGAATAATATGCATTTGGTATCAGCATTCTTTTTAAAAAATCTTGGCCAATCGGTCTGAGAGAAAAACACATACACACACACACATGATTTTAATTTGCGTGTCTTTGATTACTAGGAAGGTTGGACATTTCCCCATGTATTGTTTTTCTATTTATATTTCTTTTTTGTGCATTGCCTATTCATGCCATTTGCCCAGTTTTCAAATAAGGTGGACTTTTTTTCATGTTGTCTAGTGATCTTATGTGGGAGGATTAAACATCATTTGTCTTTTCTGCCATATAAGCTGTAAATATTTTTAACAGTTTCTCATTCACATGTTACTTTAATTTGTGATCTTTAGAAAAACATGTGCCTCTTTAATTTTTCTCTCTGATGTTAGGACAAGCTTCTTTAAGTGCTCTTCCTAGAGTCACTGCCAAGTCACTCACCCATTAGTCATTCCATTTACAAATAGAGGTGGACAGGGCTCTAGAGAAAGCAGTGGGGGATGCAGGAGAAAAGACAGCTCCTACCCTGAAATCTGAAAGCAGCCAGAAGCCAAATTAAACCAGGGGATGAGTCCCAGAGCCTTGCTAAGTGTCCTCCAGCAAGTGTCCCCAGGGCTGAGTTCAACCAGGTGCAAAGTAAGAGGCTGCAGCTGCACCTTGCCCTCCCACAGACAACTGTCACGCCTGCGCACACTCACTCTCTTTGGACTCACTCTGCCAGACAAGGGTGACAGGGGCCTGCTCAGAGTGTGAAATGACCAACCAGCCCAGGACCACGGAGCCAGTAAATGGGGGGTCCAGGATGGGAACCCAGGCCTTCCGGCTCCTGGTTCACTGGCTCAGAGGAAGGGACCCTTATCACTGGAAGTAACAGCTGGCCTAGACTACAGTCAGAATCTAGATCTTCCCTACAAGCACAGAAATCACAGGACCTGGAACACTTGCCTGGGGACAGGGATCTGGAAGGATCACCCAGGCCTCACTTCCTCAGGCCTCCCTTGTACCAGGAAAGGCCTGGTAATAGCATCATCCCGTCCTTCTTGGAGGCAAACGTCCTCCTCCTGCATTTCCCAGCGGGGACTGCCCTAACCTTTGAGCCCCGTCTGGGAGCTCAGCCTCCACTTTTCCCACCCCAAGAGGAAGCTGGGGGCTGGTTGATCTTCCATATGCACCTTATGCCAACAAAAGGTTTTTCCTAAACAACTGGTCACACAAAAGAAAACTCTGAGGCGAACATCAAAAGGCAGGGGTCCCTTCCCTCCCCCTTCTTCTTGGAGCTGTCAAGAGACATCAAGTGGCAAATGCCCATGCTCAGACTTCTGCAAAGTATTTTACAGCTTGTTTTCTTTTCTCTTTGTTTTATTTTCTCTGCACAGATGGAAAAATGCACTGGGCGAAGCAGCTCACATCTGGATCCCTCAGCTCCACAGAGAGGCGTCACCCAACTCCCGGCCTGTCCCCAGCCCCTTCCTCGGAGAGACACCTTAATCCTTCGTGCCTTCCTGTTTATCTCCTGCATCTCTTGGAGGCAAAAATATTGGGTATTAGTTTCATTATCAGATTTCAAGGCAGGGAGGAAAGGGCAGCTTTGTGAGAACAGAGAGGTCAGCCCAGA